GATTACTACAAAAACCTATATGCCCAAAAACTATATAATGAGGAGGAAATGGACAAATTCCTGGAAACATACAACCTCCCTAAGTTCACCCAAGAGGTAACAGAATATCTGAATAGACCAATTTCAAGTTCAGAAATTGGAGCAGCAATCAAAAATCTCCCAAAACGTAAAAGCCCCATACTCTTTTATAACCACTACCTGGGGAAAATGCCCAGGACTAAGTACTCAAGAAATACATACTGACTAACTAGCTAGCTTGGACTCTGTCCTAAGGAGCTCACAGCCTAGTAGGAGAAAGGGTTTAAGAAAAAAATGGCAATACAGTATGTATGATACATAGTCTAATATATGTACCACAAGAAACAACTGCATGAGAAAGCAGGGTAGCACTCTGTCTCAAAGGAATGGGGAGGTAATTATTGAACGACACATATTTGGATGTTGAATAGTTGACCTGGCAGATAAAAGGGACGGAATGTTCAAAATAGAAGTGATAGATGTACAAATACATGAAGATTTCTGTTTTATACAGAAATCAAGAGAATCCAGTATCATTGAAATATCAACTAAGTACAAACAAGGTGGCTATTGGGATGAAGGTTGAAACCACAAAGAAAGGCTCATATATAAGGGTATTGAATAATATCTCTGGGGAACTTGGACTTTATTCTTTCCATGCTGGGAAGTTGCTGAAGAAATATAGGAGAGTGGCATGATCAGAGTTGTGTTCATCAGGATAACTCTGGTCTGCTGTAAAGGATGAATTGCTGTTGGTTAAGGGTAAAAGCAAGAAGATTCCAGGAGGCTGTGGCAGCGGTCCAGGTGAGAGATGACAAAGGCTAGCTCAGGAACTAAGGACTTGGGGAGAAAGTGCAAATTTGAGAAATATGTAGAAAGTGGGATCGATGAGATTTAGGGACAAACTGAATGTGAGGAGTAAGGCTGAGGAAGAAGTTGAAGGTAATTCTTTGTCGGTTTCTGATTCCCATGAGTAAGTAGTTTTCCAAGTCAGGAGACTGAAGATGATGTGGAGGATTGGAGTAGGAATGATGAATCTGGTTATGGACAGACAGAGGTGCTGATGAGATATCCAGGTGGAAATGTTTGTGGTCAGTTAGTATACAGGTCTGGAGTTTAAGAGATATCCCAGGGCATCTCCCGACCCTTCCAAGTCCCCCATGTCTATCATTCTACACTCTATGTCCATGTGTATGCATGTACCCCTTAGATGATAACAAGTATGGGTATCATCCTCTTATGGATATTACTTAAAGTTTTGGCCATGGATTTGATTGCTAAGATAGAGGGTGTAGACTAAGAAAAGAGGAGCTTGGACAAAATTTTCAGACTATCAGCACTTAGGGAGCAAACAGATACAAATGATGTTCGGGAAAATATGATCTGCCAACTGCTAACTCTTTAAACAAAGCGGCTTCTCTTAGGTACATACTTCAGAGTAAGATATGTAATATTACTTGTCCCTTCTGACTGCCTTTTTGTATTTGGCTAACTAGTGCTTATCTCACCGCTGAAATATCAGCTCATGATTATCATCTACTGTGGGAAGCCTTCACTGAACATTAGAATATAGATTCCATGCCCTTGAGATCTCTATGTTAACTTGTATCCTAAACCTGTAACACTGTATCATAATCAACTGGGTATGTGCATTCCTCCACAAGATTGGAAGCTCCTTAAGTGCCTATAACATGTCTTAAATCTTTGTCCTCAGAATATTATCAGAGTCGGGCACACAGTAGGTGTTCAAATGTTTCATGAATGAATTAAAGGACACTCCATTGCTCAACCTGTTGCTTCCTGCTGATATTGTAATGGCTCTTCAACTTCTTTTATCTACTTCCAGTTCTCCTAATTTGTAGAGCCTCTTTGAGCTCTGTTTTCCAGTCAACTTCCTCAGGAAAGGGGAAGGGTTGGTGCCGCCCCTTGTTGTGGCTTCAGGCTTCCTACTAAAACTCCTCCTGACCTACCTCCTCCTGAGCCTGGCCGACCCCAAGATGGGCCAGCCTGATGCTATCAAATCCAAACCAATGTCCTCTCTATAGAAGGAGGATCCAGGTCTTGGCAACCTTGATCTTGTGTCTACTGCTTTAGCGAGTTGGTCTCTGAAAAAATTGACTACCCTATGACTGAGAAATTAATGGTGGTAAAGATCAAATTCACAGACCTCTCTTCATTGGATATATCCAGAAAGGAGAGGCCAGCACCCAAGCACTTTGCCTCCCTTGAGGCCACCTAAGGCCCTTAAGTGGTCAGTTCAGATTTTTGATAGCCCTTCATCCAAATGACACCTTAAGGTAAGCAAACATTTATGTCTAGTAGCTCTACCCAGGCCGAGGACAAGTCTAGAAGGCCTAAGGGACTGCTGTACCTATGTTTGATCCTTATGTACCCTCATAAGGCAACATCACTGTAGTGGACCTTAATTCAGTCTTGTTCTCCTCCTCCCAAGACTTCAATGATGTAACCGTGCCAAATGTTACCATTTAGTAGGGCAGACCTCATCTTCCCACCATGGGAGGATAAACCATCTAAGTAGTAGGCAAAGAATCAGGATAGTGTGGATGAATAAAAGCATTTTAAGCATTGTATAATGTTTAAAAGTGAGCATTTTAAGAATAAATTGAATGGTCAATGGTAGTAAAAACAGAAGAAGTAGAATAAAAAGAAATTAAAAGTGCCCACTGGATATGGCAACCATGAGGCTCTTGGCAACCTTAGCAAGAACAGTAATGGTAAAGTGAAAGGCGTAAAGTCAGAATTTGGAAGGTTCAAGAATGAACTGAAAGTCAGAACATGGGTTGGCATGGAAAAGCTACTCTTTGAAGAAGTTTGGAGGGAGCTAATGAAAAGAAGGAGGATTTTTTTTTAATGTTTGTCTTTGACAAGACATTGTTTGACATTTTTAAAGACTGAAGGGAAGAAGTGGAGATATAGGCAGGATGGGACAACTGATGGAGCAGATTTTCATGTCAGATTAGCAGGAATTTGTGCCAAGTGCCCAAGTGGAAAGACCAGCTCATCTTGAACAATGTTTGGTACATAGTTCTACTGTAAAGGTAAGGAAAGAACGTGAATGGATTCGGGCAAGCTGGTAGGTGAAATAACAGGAAGTTGATGGGTTCAATATATAACAGCCTCTATTTCTCCCCAAGGCACAAAGTGAGGTTATCTTCTGAGAGTGACAGGGACAAGAATGAGCTAGAACATCTTGAAAGGCATGAGGAAGATTTAAAATGAAAGAGGAAATTGACCAGGTGTCAAGGTTAAGAGTTTTCATTTACCTTATTCACTGAACACATGAACAAAATTTAGTATTACTATTGCTAATTTTACATTAGGAAAAATTCTAGGTAGATACACAAAAAATAAAATACTCTGTTAACCTTCAACGCTTGAATTAGAGTTGGAAGAAACAAAAGACAACCCAACTTCTTTGTAGAAGTGCCTGCATGGTACTCATGTAGTTTACATCTTACAGAGTTCATTTTTAAAGTAAGTATTAAATAACATAAATATCAGCATTTTTTTAAACCAAAATAAGTCTTATAAATGTGAGAATGGCCCTGGTGCCATGGATAAAATTCTAGAATCTTTACATTTGGTACTCGCGGTCAAGAATCCAACACGTTCTTTTCCATCCATCTGTTCCTTTCTTTTAAACTACCCGGAGTCCCCAGAGTGTTGAGCTCTTTTGGAAAGTTAGTATTTACTGATTAGGCTGCTTTTCCTCCCCTGCATGGAGAGTTCGTGGTGTACTCACACAAAGCAACAAACTCCCTGAAGTAGTTTACCACGAAGTATCACAGTTAAATTAGATTGAGATTTCAGTGACCTTTCCTATTTTTTTTTTTTTTTTGTCTGACAGAATAAAGGTCTAAGAATGTTCAGAAGATGAGCTGGATGTGGATGAAAAGATACAGACTGAGTGTGTCAAAGTTTCCATTAGGAAAACAGAGGGTTTCTTGCCAAATAGAAACACGCAGAAAGAATGTTCACTGCATTTTCACCCCTCCCCTCTCACTGCTGCCTCAAACTGTTGCCAACTCCATTTACAAACTCTTTAAGAGTGTGTCAGAAACAATATCCCAAACGAAATGGAGAGGTAGAAGAGTCTCAGATGAAGCCCTTTGGCAGAATCAAGTGTTTGATGTTCATCTCAAATGTGGTCACTTCCAGTCCCTCGATCTCTGCAGTACTCTAGGGAGAGGAACCTGTCTCTAGCTCCCTAAACATGTGGGGTTTTCTTGAATCTGTGCCTTTGCTTATGCTGTTCCTGCTACTTAGAATGCCTTGTTCACCTAAAAAAATTCCACTCATCTCTTAAAACCCATCTCAGGTCATCTTCCCTGTCTTTTGTAAAATCTCACTTAACCCTTCCCCTCTCCCCATCCCTCATACCATTCCCTACCATCCTGATCCTCCGGTCAGTGCAAATTATAGCCTTTCTTCATGTTCGTGTAGCATTTTGTGCACAAGGTCATTACAGGGTGTGTTGCACCATCTTTACTTGTTAATGCTGTATTCACCTCCTCCTCTAGACAGTAGGTTTCCCAAGGGAGGAGGACGTGTCTTGGTTATCTGTATATCCCCAGTGTCTAGCATAATGTCTCACTTTGAGTTGACGCTTGCTAAATGCTTCTGAATGAATGGATGAAAATCTACCTAACATGTATCTAGCAAGTACCAAAAAAATGAGCCTTACGTATATGTATCTCTTTGCAGTTCCTGTCCACTATCTCAGTAAATCCTTTAATCCTATGAGCTTGCCCTCCCTACCTTTTAGTTATTTACTATGCTCATCCCTAAAAGGATCATCTGGAGGGAAAGAATGTTCCCTGGAGTGCTTGGTCCCACATCAGGGTGTTGCCTTCAGCCAGGTCCTTCTGTGCATGGCATTTGGGTCAAGGATACATAACTCAAAGTGAGATAATTGTTTGGCTCTAATTTCCAAATCCTTTGATTGCTGTATATCAGATCTTGTTGTCTGAATTGTTTATTTAGTTTGCCATATTGGAATGATCAGATTGATTGGATGGATATCAAGAATCTGCTTTATACTGGCCTGTATGGATCGCTTCAGTGGGCCAAGTGAACACCCCACCCAGGACTTCATTCTTTGACATAAGTGATGGTTCATTATAAAGTTTTGCAATTTTATTTGAAGATTTGGTGGAGTGAGGGGTGCTGGAGCAGTCTTTCATCAAACAGGAATCACTGGCATGCTGTCAGATGAAATCTGGCGATTCCTTGAACACATAGCTTGTGGATGGGAAGTCTGTATAAGACAAGCCGTGGCTGCAGAGCGTGAATAAATCACACTTTTATTTGGTATTTCCCCAACCTTCAATCAATAGATTATCCAGCTTTCCATTGTTTCTGTTATTCAGGGAAAATAATTGAAAAATGAAAAGAGACTATCTTTGTGATTTAGAGAAGATTTTTCGCCATATAGCATGAATTTCTTTAAGACAGTTGCTCAGATGTTCAAATGGATAAGGCTTTTACTAGCAGTTTAATTTGTAAAATAGGTTACACGGATTTGGCATGATTATGTTGAGCACCAAGAATGACCTTAATTTGTCAGGGTTCAATACCAATATCTACACTGTATGTATCATAGAACTCTGAAAGTACCACAAACCAAGAGTTCCTTTTATGCAGTGACCATCCTTACAAATAGTTTAGAATTTTGGGCCGGGTGCGGTGGCTCACGCCTGTAATCCTAGCACTCTGGGAGGCTGAGGTGGGTGGATCGTTTGAGCTCAGGAGTTTGAGACCAGCCTGAGCAAGAGCGAGACCCCGTTTCTACTAAAAATAGAAAGAAATTAGCTGGACAACTAAAAATATACAGAAAAAATAAGCCGAGCAGGGTGGTGCATGCCTGTAGTCCCAGCTACTTGGGAGTTTGAGGCGGGACAGTCGCTTGAACCCAGGAGTTTCAGGTTGCTGTGAGCTAGGCTGATGCCACGGGACTTTAGCCGGGCAACAGAGTGAGACTCTATTTTAAAAAAATAAATAAATAAAATAAATTAAAAAAAATAAATAAAATAAAATAATTCGGGGGTATAACTATCTTATCTAACAAGAACACTTGCCATCTCCAAGGGACCCCCCTGCTTCTTGCCACCCTAGTTTTCTTCTTTGGTTCCCAGAAAAAAGAGGCAAAAAGAGAATTTTTAAAGTATATATTTGCCTGTTCCAAATGCATAGTTTTCTCTCTTCCCTGGTTCTCATCCAGCACCTCCCACCCAACTCTAACTGCGTCATTTGGAAAAGTAAAATAAATCCATAAAAAGTAGGTAGAGTATATTGCATTTCTGAACAACTTATTCTGGTTTTTCTAAGACCCTTGCAACATAGGCCATGCCTTGTTTTCATGGCTATAATAATTATTTGGAAACTTATGAAATGATCTTTAATAAACGTTGTCTTTAGAAGGACTCTTTTTCCTGGTAAGGGTATAAGAAAGGAACAGTACACTTGACCACACCATCTCTACTAAGAATGCAGCAGAGCAGTAGCAGCTGGTCTCTATTTTGAAGAAGGAGTCCATTTACCAGTCATCCCATCCCATCAGTGTGTCACTATGTTGAGTAAATAGTGTAGTAGGAAGTGTGACTGTTTTTTATTACTTCTCCTGCTAACATCATAATATTTTTGTTTTTCGCAGGCATGAAACCAGATTTAAACAACGTATGCTGGAACTGACGGACACAAACAACATAGCCTACTTATTTCTCTCAGCTGCCAACAGATGGCTGGAGGTTAGGACGGTACGTTCATTTCATGATTTCAAAATGAAACCAAGCAGAGAAGACGTCTGACACAAAGAGGCAGACAGTTGTAAAAATTAGTCTTCCACTGAGATTCAACACTAGCTTCACATTTTGTGGACTGTAAAATAGCTCAGGTTTGTTTATGTTACAGATGGAATTTGTCATAATGTTTTCACTAATGACAAGACAAATAATCCAAAAAGCAAAATTCGATTTTGTGTTCATTAGTCTCTAGATTACATAAGTTAATGGAATGGCAAATATTTGTATAACTTCAATTTTTTTTTTTCAAAAGAGTACCTTTGACAAGCAAACAGTTGTATTCATTTCCTTTATTGAGCTGGACAGGCCTGGGAGAGGTGGCAACTTTCTATGCTGTGAGTCAGTGCAGGATATGTTAGGATAAAATGTAAAAAACTACAGTTAATCATCTGTTGCCTTCTTCTGTCCTGTACAATGTAGAACAGGCAGGGGCTTTGGCATCACACTTGGTCTACCAAGTTAATTTATTTGCATCCTAACTTCTCGCTTATAAAACAGGAATAAGAATATGTACCTTGTGAAAGTAGTACTATTAAAAATAATATGAATCCCCTAGCACGTTGATAGGCAAATGCATTCAAGAAATGTCTTTTGAATGTACAGATGAATGAATAGATGAATAGAAACAGTACCTCCCCTGGTAAGTAGTTTACAAGCCAATGAATGGGAGTATAAAGCGGGAGACAGATGAGACAGACGTCCTAGAAGGGAAGGAATATAGTTTGCAGTCTATAATCTGCAACAAGAATAAGCTACTTTGGTGGCAATGGAGAGTTGACAGTAATTTTTTTAGTGGTTATCCGTCAGTTTTGAAAAGAAAAAGCAGGTTTATCTGTACTATTAGAAGAACCTTATTCCCACTAATGATGTTTTCCTAACATATGTAGGCTTTCTTTCAAAACTCAACATATTAGAGAGGGAAGATGGTAAAGAGAATTTGATAGAGTTGAAATGAAGGGGGCCAAATTAACATCTGAGTAGTTGATTGACAGCTATAGATGGATATAGAATCTTGGACACCCTTGTGAGCTTTGGTTATCATGATTTCTCACTGGTTTACAAAGATTCTCTACTACTAAATTAGTCATTACATAGAAATTATTCAGCAACATGGCACAATTGTTTTTCACAAATTTTTGATAGAAACATTGGTTGTCGATAAATTCCTTTCAGGTAGCTGTGAGGTTTGAAAGGAAGCAGGGCAGAGTTTCTCAGGAATTGCTTACAGATAACATAAAGGCAAGTGAAGCATTGCTTAGGATTTGTCATAAAACCACCATTTCTAAGCCCAGACCATAAATCCTTGTTTTAAGCTTCTGTTTGTTGTGGGGTTTTTTATTACTGTTTTCTCTAAGGAAAAATAATAATATCTGATTAATATAATTAATGATAAAATAGCTTAATGAAAGAATGTCTCAAAATCGTAAGGGAAAACGTTAGCAGTTATCTCTGTATCTGATTTTCCAGAACTTGAAGATCAAGCACGTCTTTTAAGGGGCAAGTGTGTTTGCTTTGAACTTGAGGTGAGAGTCACACTGTGACTCCTGTTCCTGCTCTTTAGCACTTCCTACTGTCAGGTTAATGGGTAAGTGCTGAACAGGAACCTTCAAGCAAACCATATGCTCTGCTCTCATAGCCAGAAGACAAGATATTAGAGCCTTAGGACTGCCAGAAAGGGAAGGTCAGGATAAATTAGAAAGGAACGGCAGCCAAAATCAGAATGTTTTAGTCTAATTTGACTCACAACCCAGTGCTTTAACCCCCCATGTGAAAAAGCAGCTGAACCTACTGGAATATAAACAAATCTAGTTCCACTTGCAGAAAACCATAGAAAATACTGACATTTTAAACAGGAAGGACGGAATCTGCCATTCATTTTGTTACTTTAGAATACGTTCGTTATTATGTATTCTCTTTGCTTTCTGTGTATTAATTATAATCCTTCCAAGAGTTGCTATCTAATTTCATCACTAAAACTCTCCCTTAAAAATGAGCACAAAAAACTAAGGAGTCTTTTGCTTTTATTTCTGTGGGTCAAGGTAAATCTTGATAAGAAACTTTTGTTGATTTATTGCAAAGTTCCAGGCATATTTGCTGACAGGGTTCAAGGTCCTTTGTGTATGATTTGTCTCCATCTGTTGTATTTATGTGTCAGTAAGTTTATACGGCTATGCGTGTGATGTGCACATACGCACACACAAACACACGCACCTCTCTAGACAATCCCGGAAATCCCTAAGACCAGTCAGATTCACTCTCACTCTGCCCTTCTGAATACACTGAGAGTTTACAGTGTATTCAGAGGAAGAGTCAGGAATACTTAAAAATAAATATAATTTAATCCACTAATCTTGTAGTCCAAGCACATACGCCATAGCAGGAGTGTTACATAAATTAAGTTGATGACTCCTATTGGGAAATATCCTTTTCTCCCAATTGTACACGTATAAATGACCTCATTACTACTGTGCTTCTGTAGACACGTCCACATCACTGAAGACACGGTTTTAGTTTGAAATAACTGGGTCTGTGTCAGAAATATGAATATTGAGATATAGGACCTTGGAGAGTAGGATGTGAACTGTTCTCTGAACCCCACATCTGGACATGTTCTGCCTTGTAAGTCATTAAAAAAATAATAAGTAACGAAAACTTCTATTTGACCCAGTATGTGTGCATTGATCTTATCTATGGTATCAACACAGTCCCCCGCTTTGCCTATCTTTGCCATAGTACTTGGTGAATTATCATAAATATTTGCTTATAGTAAACATTCTTTGAGTTTCCAGAGCAGAAACACAACGAAAATGATACAAGAAATGTCAAAAAGGTCAATGCATAGGGCATAAATTAGAGGAGGCAAGCAGGGTTTCTAGATGCAGACTTCACCATTCTGACTGATGCACTCAGAGCCTTAGGGGAAAGAGGAGAAAACCTGGTATCGTAGTAGCTTTCCGTGGCTGTATTTCCCTTTACTTTCTCTTCGTTGCTGGTTTGAGCTTTCTAAAGCAATGCCACTGCTACTGACAGAAAATCTCAAGAAGAAGAAAGGGAGGGAAACCAGAGTAAAAACAACTTTTACTGAATTTGAGAAGTTCTCTGAGCGCCATCAAAATGGTTTAAAAATATATAGCTTTTGCTTCTTTTCCCATTCACATTAAGTAAGAGTTAAGACAATCACATTTTATTCTTTGTGGGTAACAGTTTTCCCTATGGAAGATTTATCCTTGTCCACCATATTCATTTCATATTCATTTTGAATTGGGAAAAAAGTAAAGGCCACAACATACTCAAATCCCAAAAGGACAAGAGTCTAAAGGAATAAAATAATTTGGCTGGTAGAAAAGTAGCTAGACCGTGGCCACCTGGGTTGCTTTGGCAGCAGAGGGGACTGTTTTTCCTCTGGGTGCCAAGTGAAGCGGGCCCCGCTTGTGTGCAATGTGTCCTCATAGCCTAACCTTTGAATGCTGCTTACGTTCTTTTGTTCAGCCCAGTGTTTTCTCTTCATCCCTGTGCGCTAAACAATTCCAGTTCTTTGGCATCAGTGTTTCCAGTTGCGAAAATTGTGTAACTCTATCTAAAGGCTGTCTTTCCAAGGCTTTGTCTTGCTGTGTGGTGAAAGGATAAAAGAAAATTCACATGGTGAAGCCAAAAGGAAAAAAAAAAAAAAAGGTCTTTAGAGTCAATAGGCTAAAGTGAAAATAGTCTTCAGGGTGAGCTTGCACAAGAGTCTATTTCATGAAATAACGCAGAGTTTTTTTGTGTGTTCACAACTCCACAATAGACAGGTGTGCACTGATCTTGTAATTTGGCGGCCCTGATATAATCTCCCAATGAATGGTACCATAGGCATGTACTCTGGAGAGCTGTGTGAAGGAAGGAAAGAGATTGTGTGTTTTTCAGCTGTTATTAAGTATTTACGGATCTGTTTTGTAGAGAGTTACAGTTTGCATTATAGTCCTGCTTATAGGTAGATGTCATTGAATCACTAGAAGTCTGGCAAGAGGCCTCTCTTTGTGACATGGGAATCAAAGACTTTGCTTCTGGAGGGGAGTGCTGAATTCACAAAATTGCTGGAAGTTATAATTTAGCACTATACATATAAAATCTCCTGTGTTTGTGCCCTCTTTTGAAAGTGGATAATTCATCTTTGCAGTACTTTCTTTTTCCTAGGTTGAATCTTTCATTCTGTTGTATCATTTTGACAGGAGATGTTTTCACTGAATAGATTGGTTGGGATGTATAAGGCCATAGCAATAAAATAAATGCTATTAATGATGCCTAGGTATTTGCTCTCCTGTGTGTGAGTTATTTGGACCATCTGCTTCTCCTTTTCTGATTTATATTGCCTTTAAGCCATTTTGCTGCTCACATATTTGTGGAAGAATAGAAAGAAGATGTAAGGATAGGGTTACTTTGTGATTCATTAAACTTCTTAAATTTAATGGTAAAGGAAATGGAAAATGGGGAGATAACATAAGCTTTTATATTATCTATTAATTTCACATTTTTATACTACTATACTATTTGATGGGAAGTGATTGGAATTTAGTGATTTTGCTATGAAATTTCTTGATAAACATTGTACAGAAAGGAGCTTCCTCCCCTATGCAGATCAAGATAAAATTCTGATTAAATGCCTTTAAAAAATTTTCAATTCCTTAGAGAAAACATTTTTCAGCTGTGGTAATAATTCAAGAGTGAACTGGAAAGTATCTAATTAGTGTAATTAAAAGACAAAACAAATAGCACTTTCTAAAAAAAATATAAAAGAATATT